CCCCAAAACCCCAAAACCCCAAAACCCCATAAGGTAGGAATAGTTATTGTATAATTATAAGATTTAAATTCTAATAAAATTTCTATCAAAATAAAATCTTCAATTTTTAACATATCGTAAAACATTCATGGATCCCGATAATAGCAACTCTGATTCAAGAGTAGTATACAGTCCAAGACTCTACACCTAGCAGTCTTACAGAGTTCCTAAAAGAAGGGTTTCAAGCAATTAGTTCAGTGATAGTTTGAGTTTCAGAAAGACTGTGATTTAGCCTCGATATTTCAAAGTGAATCGAGGTAATTTGCTAATTATGGAATAGCAAGAATCAGAAAACCATCACTCTCCAGCCAATAAGGGCAAAAATCATAAAGAAAGTCTGTAAAATAGCTAATAAGCATACTAGAATATGAAGCCCCAGTAGCATATCAATACAAGAATAATTAATCATAAAAACAGAACACCTGTTATAACTTTTAAAAATGATAGGTTGAGAAGTATTTTCCTAAATAATCATTTAAACACTCGGCAAAGAAGTTTGCTGAATCAATAATACTCTCCTACAGCTGCATAATTCAATCAATCAAGTCTATTACCATAAAACAGTGGACAATCTCCATTCACTCAAACTGTTCATGGCTTCACGAAAACTATATTCCACATACCTTTATTAACTAGTAACTCAAAGATTATTAAAAATTAACATTTGGAAAGTAATCCTAATGGTAATTACAATCAGGATATATAGTTGACTCAGACAAGTAAAAGTGAAGGCTTAGAATAAATGAGACAGTTTGTTAATGACTATCCTGTCTAAGACAGTATTGTAATCGATAGGAATTCATACTCTATTAATAAAAATGATGAATAACTGTAGCCTAAGCCAACTCGCTTAGTTTACCTACCGCAGCGATGCAAATAAATATTAGTAAAAGCTAAGGTAAAGCAAGATTAAATGCAGTATTATGATCAAATGAGAAATAATAGTCAAGATAAGTCTAAATCATACACTAACCTAAAAAGCTAATCTAGTAGAGTGGCTGCATAATTCACTCCTGAAAAACCATAGCCATCATCAATAATAAGCCATCTGACACTTTTGAGCCATACAAATACATCTAGACCAGCGACATAAAGTTATCTTAGGTTTCAAAGATAAAATTACAATACTAACAATGAAAAATCTTCAATTTTCAACTGCAAAGTTCTAGAATCAATTAAAAGTAACATTAAAAAATCCGAGACAGTTAAATAAGTTAACCAGATGTATCAGTAGATTTTCTAATCTACCTAAGACTATAATAATGTCTTTGATAGAAATAAAAGACTATTATAAGCTTTAAAAGATATTGAGCACAATAATGAAGATCTAAAACCAGAAAATTCACTGCGTCAAAGTTTCGGAGGAGTCTCAATCAGAGGCAGTTTAGATAGAAATTAGTTGATTTAAAAAAGTAATAACTCAAGTAAATTGTAAAAAAGGAAAAAAGAAGTTATGATTTAAAAATAAGTCAACACTGGTATCAGAAACAAGAGCGATACAAAGCAAAAATAAGATAATTCTATGCATCATAGCCCTTTACCACCTAATTAAAAAGCTTATAAGCTAGTATTTGTTGACGGAAATGAAAATGCAATGAAATTTCAGGATTAAAATGACATCCGAAAAGAAGTAGCTGATTTCCTTGATTATAAACAAAAGTTAAGTAAGAAAAACCATAATATAATGAGAAATTATCAAACAGGAGAGATCAAAGTAGATAGCATCGTGCCAATTCACAATTAAACTTAAATTGATGTTGTTTAGAATGAATCTAAAAAACCTATTTAGTTTGATCGGGAATTTTATGAAAAAATGGCTCACTTTGATATGGTGATTTCCTCATCTATATCATAAAAGAAACTAACTGATAATTTAACACTAAATCTAAATGAATAAAGCTAAAACGACTTAAGCAATACTTCTGATCTAAGTCACATTGATGATAACAGATATGCTTCATAGCATACTCTTTCTGTTGAAAATATAAATAAAGATTCATGATAAGCGATAATGATAAATAAGAGTTGGACTAATACTTTTACTAATATTGAATTATTTAAATGTTTAAGATTAAGAAATAAAGTATTATTTATAGAAAAAGATAGCTAATTCCGTCGAAAAATATAATTCTCTATTATCGATCACTTATTTGACTTCTTCATGATATTTTTCATCTTAAGCATCTCATCCATGTATTGCTTTTCGAAATAGAGTTTTCTGAAATGAACTCGATCAACATCATCTTTGCCTTTCTAATTTTGATCGATACTCATATTCACAATTGAATCACCATATTTAATTTGAGCCATGCTTTTAATAGTACTCTTTGAATCCCATGCTCCATAAGTTGGAAAAACACCAATATTAGTAGGGCGTTTATATCTGGAAAGACTTTTAGATTTATTAAATATTTCTTGCTGATTTTCATTTAATCTTGGGGATTAGTAACGCTAAATTTTCCTTAAATTAAAGTGGAAATTACAGAGTAAATTGATGGAAGTTTGAAAGGTTCTGGACCTTGAGACTGTTATCTAGAATGGCCATTTGTTTTTAGATTCTAAATTCCATAGTCATCATATTCATTCTAGTAGTCAATAGCTAATATTGAAAATAAACATATCAATAATTACTTTTGTGCTATTAATTGTAACCAATAGTAGACATTTCTAATTTTTTAATTTCATTCTTATTCAGAATAATGAAGATGATTCTCGTTGGGGTTTTGGGGTTTTGGGGTTTTGGGGTTTTGCTA